GAAAGAAAGTATACCACTGTTGGTTAAAAACCATGGCAACTGAAAATCATCCTTGTTTGTTTGTTTGTTTGTTTTTGTCTTCCCAGCTCAGCACAATGCCAACTTGCATGGCTATTTGCAAAGACTATCTGTTTATTGGAGGAGCCAAAGGATTCTCGGTGTATAATGTGTGCAAAGCGACACAAATATGTGCTTGGGAGAAGCTAAAAGTTGATGTCACGTCCATCTCAGTCACAGATATGGGGAATGAAATACTTATTGCTCCATTGGATGAAATGGGTACTTGTTCTTCACTTTCCCTTTTAGCCTAATTTACAGATGCCTGCGAGCATGTAGAAGAACCCTGGTGGCACAGTGGTTAAAATGCTCAGATGCCAACCAAGAGGTCAGCAGTTCAAACTCATCAATTGGCTCTGCGGGAGAAAGGTGTGGCAGTCTACTTCCAAAAAGGGTTTTACACTGTCCTCGAGTGTTGCTATGAGTTGGAATTCATTCAGTGGCAGCCGGTTAATTTTGTTTGGTGGCATAATAGAGAAGAAAAGAATATAAGGGTTGAGGTTGTTGTTCAATTTAATCTCCTTTCTAGGTGTGAGTTAAGGACATCTGATGGCATTGTCAGGTAAGCATCGAACTACGAATACCAAGGCCAGTGGTTCAAGCCCTCCAGCTGCTCTTGGGAGAAAGATGAGGTTATTTTGTTCCCATAAAGATTAGCAGCCTGGGAAACTCTATGTAAGGTGGCTATGAGTTGGGTTCCACCCAATGGCTGTGGGTTTGGTATTTTAGTTTGGGTTTCAGGTGTAGTGGGGCCAGGCTTGGAGAGTGCTCCCTGTTCATAAAATAACAATTGTGTAGCAAGTAAGGCACTACTCTGAAGTTTCCCAAGTTAGCCCATTTTGTCCTTACTTCTACCCTAGGAAGTAAGTACAATGTATTACTCCTAATTTTCAGAAAGTGCAACTGAGGCAAAGAGGTTCAGCAACTTACTTGAGGTACTGCAGAGAGTAAGTGGCACAGACAAGAACAAAACTAGACAGTGCAGCCCCACTCATCAATCCTGCCTTCACATAAGCCCGGGCTTGCTTTTCTCAGCCTGAGAAGGAGTCCTGCCCCTATACTGTGCTACAGAATACCATAAACAGTGGCCTACGTTGGTGAGCGGGTGCTATTGCTTATCCCCAGATACTAAAAGAGCACAAGCAGCAGCAAGGGCTGGTGCAGAGGGTGGGCCTGCCTCCTGATGAAGCAGAATGTGGCACAGGCACAGAGAAGGGCTCCAAACACTGGGCAGGTCGACCTAACCAAACCGAGGGACTGCAGACAGACAGCTTCCTCCTTATATACCTGGTAGCAGGGCCCCCTCTGGCCTGTGGTTATGTTTGAAAAAAGAAGCCTCTGTGGTTCTGGGTGACCCAGACTACTGTCTTTGAACGTGGGGAACTTATAGACTTGTTGAAGATCAAAAGGCAAGTATCAGCATTGGCCAGGAAGCTGGGGGTTGGGGAGCTGGCACTATTTCGACCCAAGGAGCAGAAAGTGCCTGTTGTTATGGTGAGCCGCTATTACAGCACATATTTCTCTAAGCAGAAGATTCTGCAGAACCAGCAGGGGCACACTGAAGAACATGAAGCTAGAGAGGGAGGGACATGGCACCCTGCAAGAGTTTAGAAAGTCAAAGTACGAGGCAGAGAGGCTAGGAAGAAAGAACTATTGTATTCATCAAAGAGGAATTTCCAAGAGTCCACACCAAAGCAGCGGCAGTTAAAACGAGAAGGAAAATTATACTATCATTGTGTAAAATATTAACACTTGGGGAAGAGTAGTGAGGAACAAAGGAGCTTGTTGAGCTGAGTTTTTAAAAACATGTTTTCAGTAAGTCTACAGCGGTGGCTGTTTCAGGCCATGAGTCTGTTCCAAATCATAACGAGCCCGATGACGGTGGAACTATGTCTATGCATAGGTTCTCTTGACTGACATCTTCACCAAAGATTGCCAGGTGTTTCTTCCATCGGCTACTGGGTGGATTTGGACTACCCATATTAGTTCAAAATTAGAAGTGCTTTAAAAGATGAAAAGACTTTGAGAATGATGAGGGCAATGAATGTACAAATGTGCTTTACACAATTGATGTATGTATGGATTGTGATAAGAGTTGTATGAGCCCCTAATAAAACCATTAATAAATAAATAAATAAAATCAGGAAACACATGCAAAAAAAAAGATGAAAAGACAAATGTGATGAATCAATTTGGTGAGTGGCAAAATGTATGTTTGGTGGAGCAATAACGGCAGAAACCGTTTGCTGCTTTCCCTGTTAGCAATCCTTCAAAAATAGGGTTTCAGGGGTCCATGAGTTGAACAGTTTCACTTTGAATATGCACAGATTTGAGGTACTTTGAGGATATCTGAGTGGAAATGTTGATATTCAGGAGGAGTTTGACCTAAACAAACAATCTCACTTATCACATTGTGCTGTATTTTGTTGGCTTCATGTCAGTATGATGATGATGAAGGCAAAGCCTGTACAGAGAAAAATGAGCTCAAAGAATCTATGAAACAATTGGATTCCTATGCAGAGCCGTGCAGGATGATATGCCAGGGCAGGTAGATGGACGTCCAGGGGCAGATTGGGGTGGCTGGGGCGTTTACAGGCGTCCTCAAGGAGAGGAGGGTAGGCCTAGGGTGGGTGAAGAGGCCTCAGGAGAAACAGGAACCTGAGCATCTGAAGTGAGGCACAGAAGCAAGCCGAGAGTGCAAGATGACCTCGGGCAGTGGAGGGCTGCGAAGGAGCTATTGTTGTGGGTTCAAATGAATGACAGCCACTATAATGTCTTGAAAATTCAGAAGAGTCTTTTATTCAGCTAGCTGGGCCACCAGGAAACTAAAAGCATTTCCCTAAATCAGTAGCAGCAAAAGAAATTACTAACCAGCTTATAGAGGAAAAGATTGCAAAGATCATTTGGCTCGTTTATCAGGGACGTTCCTTTGAAACGAATGGGGGTGACAGAAGCAAAAAATAGCAAAATGGATGTTAATATTCTTTAGAGTAAGTGAGTGTTGCAGGGTACATTTGTCAAACTGCAATAGCAGGATTGATTATAACATCCTGGTGTGTGGGAAACAGAAAGATTTCTCCCAAGTTGTCTCCCGCAAATATATACCAAACTTAGCTGCTTGCTGCACGTGGCAGATGACTATACACTTGGAGGTCAACAGAAGTAGGTTAGGGGTCATTCTCCCTAAGGCTTATCAGCCATGTACAGCAAGCAGTCACCACTGTTTATCCCACAAGTAGGAACCCCTCCCTTCTCATAAGGCTAGTAGTTGACTGTTTCCTTGTAGTAGACCCCAGAGAAGTCAAGCCCACCCAAGGGTGACCAAGGTTAGGCCGCCATCATGAATCTAGGGCCCACCCACTTGTCACATGTATGCCTCTAGTTCCTCCCCTTCTTATGTGCACAGCCCTAGCTCATCCCCTTCCTGTTACACCTATGTCCATTGTATATCTCCCTCCTATTGCTTGTATGCCTATTGTAATGCCCCTTCCCGTGTGGTTACCTATAATCACACACCCCCTAAGTAGATATAACCCTTGGTTAGCAATAAACGGTGTCTTCAACCCGGGCTGGCTCTCTCTGGCCAGCAGGCTGTCTCTGCCCCACCTCTCCGCGCCACCTCACCTTGGCCCACGCTGTGTGCGGACATGGCTGTTGAGATCATGGCCATGCAGGAGGTGAGCATGCTACCATGAAATGTGTCTGACCCCATTATTTCAATCTCTCATGCTCCCGATGACTTTATTGTAACATTTATATATATCTCAACCGTATAATTGCGCCTATTGAACCTACAATTAGTTGTGGGGGGCTGGCCTTATACCCCCACACTGGTTAACAATAAGAATAGTAAGGTTAATGATAACATCTTGGTTACAACATCAAAAGGGAACAATATTTTTTTTCTTTTAAAAATCATTTTATTGGAGGCCCTTACAGCTCTTCTGACATTCTATACATCAACTGTATCAAACATATTTGTACTTATGTTGCCATCATCATTTTCTATTTGAGCCCTTGGTATCAGCCATATTTTCTTTCTTTTTTTAAAAAGTTTTTATGGGCCTATAATTCATATGTAATACAATTCAATAGTTCAGTCATATTAAGAAGAGTTGTATTGTCATCTTCACAATCAGTTTTAGAACAATTTCTTCTTCCTTGCACTCATTTCCTCCCAACTTTTCCTGCCATGCCCCTAATACATCGTTAATGAGTTACTGTCTCTGTAGATTTACCTGTCCTGGATTTCATATGCAGAAAACATAAAAAATCAAACAACAACAAAAACTACCAAAAATAACAAAGTGAAACAGTAAAAAAGGGAACAATATTAAAGAATAACAGGATTGATTACAATGGCTTGATTCTGGGTACACATGAGTAGTTTCTGAAATCAATCACTAGCAGGGCTTTCCGAGACAGGAGGGGGAAGTGGGCAGGTCATCGAACAGCCAACAAAATGGAGTTGCTTTGGTTAGTTTGCCTCAACATGAGTGCATGAACTTCAAAAGTAATGTAACACTTGCTTCATATATTTGTCTTCCATTTTCACTTGTGTTTCTCTTTCAGGTATCATTCGACTATTTTATTTTTATAAGCAAGTCCTTTTCCTAATCAAGGCCATCAATGAAGTGGTGAGTGCCTATGCTTTTTCCCATCAGACTGGGCTAGATGCTGTGGCATGTTACATTTAGTGTTAACATAGAGGTGATGAGAGCTGCCCTAGGGTGAAAAGGAAGAGAGGCTTCTGGGTCAGAAAGCGTCCTCCGAAGGATGCAGTTAAAGAAGCCTCACCGTCAGAAGGAACATGCCAAGTGCTCTGGAGTTATTTGCCCTGCTGTCATGACCAAGGGACTCCAGTCCAGACCAGCATCTAATAACTACCCCCCCCCCCAAATCCTCAAGCCTTGTAGGTTGTTTCATACCTGGGCCCTTGCCTGTGCTGTCCCTCTGCTTGGAATACTAGCCTACCCTTGCCTTCTACTCCTATCCTGTGTGCCTGTTAAACCCTTCCCATCCTCCAAGAGCAACTTAGGCATGTCCTCCTCTGAGATGCTTCCCCAAAAGGAGCAATCCCATCTTTTAGGCACCACCATATTGAACATCATTTCTAGGAAGTGTTTCCCACACCTTCCCCAAAGAACACTGATC